CCCCGCCCCTTGGCCAGCCCTGCCACTGCAAACAGAGGCTGCTGGACTTAGTGTGAGCCAGGACCAAGCAGTCCCAGCTCACTCTGGTCCAGTGTGCCGCGCCTCTGCATTTTAAATGTAGCAAGAGCCTGGCAGTTCTTATTACATTTAAAATCAGAGCTGTAGTGTGAGTGGCTCCCAGAGCCAGCACGAGCCAGGACTGCTCAGTCCCGGCTCGAGCTGGCTTCTGGAGCTACCCCTGCTGTGGCTCTGCACAGCGGTCCTTATCGACTAACACAATTAGTCAGACAACCACAATTTAACATCCCTAGAACCACTGACGTACACAATTGAATTTTTAATACAATGATCCCCAAAGATATTAAACCTAATTTAGTAAAGTAAGCCAGGATTTTATCAGTCTGTTGCAGCACTCCCCTCTCTCTCCGCAGCATCCCCATTGTGCTGAAGCTGTTTGATCTTCAGAAAGAACTCCTGGGGCTGTTTCTAACTCAGTGTTCTTAGCAGACATGAAATCAGTATGAAGCAAAACAAGTACCTTCTCCACTATGTCCAGGTCTCCACCAGCCATCACATTTCTCACTATTGTTCCAGCTCTGTGCGCAACAGAATATGCAGAGGCCACTAGGCGCATCAACACAGTTGGAGAAGAAGCCATAGTTAATGCTGAAGAGAATAAAAAAGTGATCTTGTGAATTCACAATTTTCATATACTAACATTCAAGAGAAGAATAAGAAGCCCATGGAAGACTAAATTATTCCAGTAGTAGAGTTTGGAATGTTATTTATATAAAAATAAAATCTTATAAACTAATAGAATAATCAATGCAAATTGCATCGACTATTTGATTAGCCCAATCATCTAAATTTAACACCCCTAACATGGATGCAAAAAAACACTTCTCACTTTCTGGGCTGGCTAAATCTTGGTGTATCCTGAGCAGAAACTGCTAGTAATGCCAGGTTTCTAGTGCATGGATTTTTATGGATTTTAATAAATTACCACATAGAAACAGAAAAAGAACCTCTATCCCAAGAACCCCATATAATCTGAAACTTTACTGATAACACTAATCTAGCAATTCTTGTTTTGAAACTTAGAGTCATATAAATTCCCCAGATTAATGCCCAAATGACATACTATCTTTTTCTTCTGTCTTGAAAGCTATCAGGCATGCTCTTGTGGTTAAAGCACAGGAAAAATAGGAATTAGAATTCCTGACTTCCATTCCCAGATCATTTATTGATTTCCTGTATGAACTTGATTAAATCACTTAATGCGTCTATGCGCCATTTTCCCTATCCATTATCATGTGACCAATAATACTTAACTACATCATAGGGGCATTGTGAGATTTAATTAATCAATAAAGTGCTTTGCAATCTTTTGACTGAAAAAACATTTACAATAATCGCATCATCTTGCCAAAGAGGGTGGGGAAAAAAATCATCTTTTAAAAACAGATTTTTAATTTAAATACATGTAAAATGTATTTAATAACTAAATTTGAACAATCTATATTAAAGATTAAATTTATTAATCAATAATTTAAAATAAATAAAAATAGTAAGTGGCACAGATTTGCTTCCAAATCTTTAAAAGTCAAAACAGTAAACTAATGGATACGACTAGCTAAGCACTTGAAACCAGAGTCTGTTGAATCACTAAACCAGCTTTCAATCAGCAGTAGCCTTTTCTGCAGATGGAAAGAGAATATTTTCTTTACTTCAGTTTATTCAACTAGTTTGAATTAACTAGTTGTAGAACTAAAGTTAAGACACCAACTGGAAATGGATAAGTAGGAAAAGTGTATTTTCCTCTTCCAGTTTATGAATAAAAACTAGATGTGAGAAGATGAGAACTGTCAGTTCTGAAGTCTTGAAGGACATTGTGACAGAAATAATCAATTCAATATCATTAACTACAGATGATAAATACTTACTTTGTTTAATAAATCATTTTCAAATTTATCAAAAACACGTTTTGTTAAACTTTCCTCTTTATGTATTCATCTACATGAAGGTCATTTACCTAATAAACAATTTGAAAATAGTATTCTGGAGCATTTTTAATTAGGGATGTTAAATTTCAACTAATCAGCTAATTGAATAGTGGATGGATTTTCCATCAACTACTCAATTAATCTCAGCTGCACTTCTGCCTTTTAAATGTAGCAAGAGCCCCCCTTCCCATCCCCGAGCTCTTGCTACATTTAAAAAGTGAGGCCCAGCATTCAGACCTGGTGCGAGCAGGGACTATGGGTGCATCCACACCTGAAACTCGAAATAAGCTACACAATTTACCCTATACAAATTGCGTAGCTTATTTCGAGTCTATTTGAAATAGGCTATTTTGAAATTTGGCACGGTTTACACTAGGGAGGTAATAGTCTAGTTGATTAACCAATCAGCAAAAGCTTATAGGTTAATGCTATAGACTACACGCATTTTCTCCCCATCCTTTGCCAGTAAATTTTTTATCAGGCTGGCAAGCAGCCTGGCTCAGTCCTGGCGTGCACCGGGTCCAGGACCTACCCACACTGCGTCTCTGCATTTAAAGTGTATGAGGATCCAGGAAGGCAGCCCTGCTCAGTTCTGTATCAGAGGCTGCAGTGTGGGGCATCAGAGGCAGCTGCATGGAGTAGCAGGGGACTCCTCAGTGGCAGGCTGGCTCGTCGCTGGCTGCCGGGTCCAACCACAGGGACTATAGAATAGTCGAGTAACCGATATAGAGGTTACACAACTATTCAATTAACCAATTTTTAACATCCCTAGTCAACACAAAGCCAAATTTTGAAATAAAGTGCTATTTCAAGCCATCCCTTACTCCTCGTCGAACGAGGTATACAGGGATGGCAAAATAGCGTGTCCACTATATTTCGAAATAGTGGACGCATTCAAAAGATGTGGGATAGCTATTTTGGGATACCTCCAGTATCCCAAAATAGCACTGTAGTGCAGACATACCCTACGAGTCCCCATTCAACCTGGGTTCCCCGCTGCACCTCTGCCTCCCCTGCCCCCATGGAGACAATGCTGGGGGGAACAATCTTTTAAGACCGCTTCTCCCACTCCCCCCAGTACTGGCTCCTGCTCCCCCCTCCCCTTGCTGTCTCTGATACAGAGCAAGCAGCAAATCTTGCCTCAGACACTATTCAGGGACTGGCAAAGAAAGAGGCTGGAGGGAGGGGCAGAGAGCAGGGGTTCCTTTGGGATACCAGACTGAGAAGGGGAGATGGGAGTCCGTGAGGAGTCAGGGGAGGGGCTGAGGACCCACATGGAGGATAGAAAGAGGGCTGGGGGGCCATGCAGTGCCAGAGGGTCTCTGGGCACCACCAAGCAGAAGTCCCCCCCCTCCCCGACAGAGGCAGCAAGGGGGGGAAAACTCAATTAGTGACTCGAGTACCCGATCAGCTAGTCGACTAGTCACTTACATCCCTATCTCTCTATAGATTAAAGAAAGTTTTTCCTGCAGGGATGAGTCTCAACAGAGTCCCCAGAAGGGGAAGAGGTGGCCATGGCTCAGGGTTCTCTTTCCTCCTTTGGGAGGGAGAGGCGCCTTGGGCTCCCTGCTGGCCCCCAGCTCTTCTGAAGAAGGGCCAAGGAGTGGCAGCAGTGGCTCCTCATTGCGCTTGGAGCCCTGATGCTCTGGGACCCAGCAGGGAACTGCAATCTCCGGCTGCTTGGGCCAGGTGCGGTGCGGCCACCATGTGCCTGAAGTTCCAGCCTGGAACCCTTCCTCCCCACAAGATTAATATGCCAGCACTGGCTTCCTGCGGGGGAGTAGGGAGAAGAGAAAACCCTGAGGCTCCACCCTGGAGGGGGCTTGTGGAGGATGCACGTGCTGATGTGGGGGGGGGGAATGGCCCCCCAGCATTTCCCACAGCAGCGTGCGCGCTTCTATGCAAGCTGCCTCCGGCGCGGAGCCTCATGGTTTTCTCAGCTCCCCCTCAAGAAGCTGGCGCTGGTGCGCTAATCTTAGGGGTTCCAGGCTGGAGCTCCAGGTATGCAGTAGCCCCACCAGTTCCCTGCTGGGTCCTGGGCTCCCCCTGCAGCAAGGAGCTGCTGCCGCC